CTCCCATGCGCCGCGGGGGGTCAATCCGCGGCGCCCCCGGGGCCGGTTTCTCCCCCCCCCCATGCGCCCGGGGCCGGCTCCGGCACCGCGCATGCGCCACGTGCCCGGGGCCAGGCCAGCCCTGAGCACTTGGCGGGCGCAGACAAATGCCCCCGCGGGCGCCATGGCGCCTGCGGGCATCGTGTTGGGGACCACGGCCCTATTCTATTCATTCCTCTGGAGCATCTGGCATTGGTCACTGTCAGAAGACAGGACAGTGGGCTAGATGGACCTGTGGTCTGACCCAGTCTGGCCTTCCTTATACTTATGGAGAAGTCGGACTGAGCTGGTACCTGAACTCTGATATCTTGGAGTCCCCTAGTAGCCTGTCCTCTAGGCCAGTCTTTCCTTCTCCAAGACCGATCTGTCCCATGGAAAGCTGCCTGATCTACTGCATCTCAGCGGGGTGAAGCTGGGTGTGGTCCATGCTGAGGGACTGACCATACCTCTGACAGGTGGTAGTTTGGGTCCCTGCAGCTATGATCGCACAGTTTCTCTTCCCTGAGAGGGGAAATAACCCCCCGCCAGCCCTTCGTGTGTGCTGCACCTGTCTGCTCTGCTGCCCATTATCCATCCATAGGTGCCTTCTCAACCCTCACTGAGTTTGCCCAGAAGTAGCTGCTTTTAACTGAATAGCTAATCTTTTGAGGTACATGAGGAAATCCTGCCTGCTTTCTCAGGTCTGCCAGTTTCCCATTGCTTCATGGTCAGGGGAGCTATGAAAAACACAGTTGCTGAAAGCAGCTGCCCTCAGGCCTGAATCATCTTGGGTACAAACCCCCCCAGTGATGGTATGTCTACGTTTTAAGTGCTGCAGGGGCCTAGGCCTAGTGTAAACACGTATTACTGTGAGGAAGGGGCTCTTCCATCGCTGTAGTAAATCCACCTCTGCAACATGCAGTAGCTAGGTCAAAGGGATGAAATATTCCATTGACCTCACCATGTCTACTCTGGGGCTGAGGGTAGCTTAAGGCTGTGACCTTCTTCACAGCCCTGAGCAATGTACTCAAGCTGACGTAACTTTGGAGTGCAGGCCGGTCCTTTTCAAACTTTTCTCATGACCCACTTGATGAAAATGATCGATGCCTGCGACCCAGCATAATTTGACTAGTGTGTGGGCTCCGGGGTGGGGCTGAGGGTTTGAGCTTTGGAGTGTAGGAGGGGGCTCTGGCTTCAAGGTGGGAGAGAGATGTCAGGGCTGGGGCAGGAGGGGTTCACCTTAAGTGGCTCCCAGTCAGTGGTGCAGTGCGGGGAGGGGCCTAAGGCAACTTCCTGCCTCTCTTGGCACCACAGACCATGCTGCCCCCAGCAGCAGGTTCCCAGCCAATGGAAGGGTGGAGCTAGTGCTCAGGGCAGGGGCAGTGCATGGAGCCCTGTGCCCGCTCCTCCTCCCTCCATCTAGGAGCCAGGCCTGCTGCCAGCCACTTCTGAAGCACAGCACAGTCTGTGGTGCCAGGACAGGCAGGGAGCTCCCTTAGCGCCCTGTAGTGAGTCAGCATGGCCCCCTGCTGACCCAGAGGAGGAAACTTCCACAAAAACACCTTGGTGGGCGGTGCCAAACCACCCAGCCCCGCCCACAGGAAACAGGAAGTGAGAGCTGGGGGTATAAGAAGGGAAGCTCCCAGCTCAGTCAGAGCCCAGCTGCTGAGTAGGGCAGAGGCTCTTTTCTAGCCCCAGCATAGGCAGGCCTTGCCATGCGGTGATCCGCTGGATGATTGGGTTGGACCGCCCGGCCGCTACCAGGCCCTGGTCCCGGGCCTAGACTGCCGGACCTGGATCCTAGGACACATCTGCGGAGGCCACCACCCAGGCCCACCAATCTACCCGGACTAGGCTTACTAGGTAGGTTTAGAAAAAATACCGGACACACTTAAGGGGGCAGGGTGGGGGCAGTATGCCTAAGGGAGATTGGAGGGGCGAGTCGGGGGCAGCGTGGCTGGCTGGGAGAGATAGGGAGGAGGACTGACCCAGGCACATGCAGATCCTGGGGCACTGTCAGTCCCGCGCACGGTCCCGGCGAAGCGCGAGTGAGTCTGGCTGCAGCTCCACCACACGCTCAGGAGCCGGGACAGGGCTTCTCCTCCTCCCCAAGGCATCAGATGCACCCAGGGCTCCTAGCACTGATCACGCCCCGCCTCCCAGCCACTCCTCCACCTGGCTTCCCTCTGGCGCCCAGCCAGAGAACCAGGAAATACCAGACATTGCACATGTCCGGTATTTTCTGAAATTTTCTACTGGACAGAGGGCCTGAAAACCAGACTGTCCAGTAGAAAACTGGACACCTGGCAAACCTAACCTGGACCCTCCAGGCCTGTGGGAGGCCCAGCCAAGTGGACTGGACCTGTACCTGTCCCAGACCTCAAGCCTGTGGACATGCTGCTAGTGCCACCATCCACAGGTGACACCGAGGAGCAGCACCCGAGCCAGGTAGACCCCCTAGGGGAGCAGGGAAGTGGACCAGGGACAGCCAACCCCGGGATGGCTGAGGACATAGAGGTCAGCTGGGCAGCGCGCTGCGGCTTAGCGCTCCGCTGACCCAGATGGCACAGTACGGCTTGGAGCCCCGCTAATCCAGTGGCTGCGGCACTGCCACTAATAGGGCCCTGGGTTGGAATGCGGTGGAGTAGGGAGGTCCCGTGTCCCTCCCCGCCACCCTTTCCTTTGGGTGGCAGGTTCCCCCTGTGGGGCAAAAACCCCTGTGCTTGTCAGCTCTCTGCCACCAAGGAGACCCGACCCCTAGCCCCGTTGGCATAGAGGCTGGTGCCATTAAACCTGGTAGATTTACTGTTTGTTATTTATCTTGTGGACTACTTGCTAGACTGTTTATTGCCCCGCCCCGACCCAGGGCCGGGGCATATAGAGTGGCGACCGGCTTATTCAGACTGCTTGATTGTTTGTTTGCCCTGCCCTGCACAAGGGCAAGGCCTTTACAACTGAGATTCGGCCTGGAGCCCTGGACTCCAGAGGCCCATAGTGAGTCAATGTGGCCCCCCCATTGACCCAAACTACTACATGCTCCCACTGCTCACCGGATCCCCATGCAGCAAGGAGACCCAGCACCTGATGTTCCAGCACCTGGTACTGGGTCACAACCCGTAGTTTGAAAACCGCTGGTGTAGACCAAGCACGAGAAGGTGCCAGTTCTCCTTAGCGACACTCAAGATTCCTTCAGAGCACGCACACAATGCAGCCTCCTTCTCTATACATTACTGTGCCCTGCCAGGACAGCTCGGCTGTGTCTAGACTGGCCAGTTTTTCCGGAAAATCAGCTGCTTTTCTGGAAAAACTTGCCAGCTGTCTATACTGGCCGCTTGAATTTCCGCAAAAGCACTGACTTCCTCCTGTAAGAATCAGTGCTTCTTGGGGAAATGCTATGCTGCTCCCATTCAGGCAAAAGTCCCTTTTGCGCAAAGTTTTTGCGCAAAAGGGCCAGTGTAGACAGTTCAGATTTGTTTTCTGCAAAAAAAGCCCCAATCGTGAAAATGGCGATCGGGGCTTTTTTGCACAAAAGCGCGTCTAGATTGGCACGGACGCTTTTCCTGGAAAAGCGTCCGTGCCAATCTAGACGCTCTGTTCCGAAAATGCTTTTAACGGAAAACTTTTCTGTTAAAAGCATTTCCGGAAAATCATGCCAGTCTAGACGCAGCCCTCTTGTGCGCATTTTCTCCTCTGACCCCCAGCAGCACCGCCCAGATGGGAGAGTTCCACACACAGATTCCACACCCCTCAAAACACCTCTGCTT